ATTTTCTAAATAGTCTAATTAAAAAATTTTGAAATTTTGATGACAATTTTTTGAAGTTTGATGATTTTCGTTTGCAATTTGTGCAATTTGTGCAAGCTTTGCAACTTTTGTTATTGTGGTTTCTGATTTAGATTGAATTATATTTTAAATGAAAATTATTAAAAATAAATAAATAAACATAATTTGCAAGCAATATCGTTGCTAATTAGTTGCACGCATCTGTACATACGTACGTATTCATCTTCGTATTAGTCTTCACATCCACCTTCATATTGTTGTTAGTCGCTGTCTTCGTAATAGTCTTCGGATCGTATGCGTATTCGTGTTCATATTTATTTCGTCGTCCTCTTCGTATTCATTTCCGTGATTTTCAATTAACAACTCATTTCATTTCAATTATTAAACCCTAAAACACGACAAACACCTTTCCAATGGTGCTTGTGGTTTTACAAAATCGGTCCAGTAGAACCGCCAAATGAAGGCGGGCAAAATTTATGTTATCCCGTTATACATACATATATGTATGTGTGTATATACATACATATGAACATACAGTGACGAGCAAAACTGTAACATGATGTAACACTTTTTGTTTCAACCACCGCTATATTTCCAAGTTCTAACGACTTTCATCCTTTTGTTGAATATTCTTGTTGGTACATCCCTACTCCCTCTCTCATAACGATTTGAAGTCAATCCAACAACAACAAAAAAACCTGGAGACAAAAATGTAAGTTAAGGCAAATGTTACAGTTTTGCACTCACTCTCAGTTTTGCATTTTACAGTTATCTTTTGCTTAGTTGGAAATCAGATGACTTTTTTCTATATTGTAATTTATTCAAGAAGTGATCACCAATAAATAATATGGTTAATCAGGAAACATAAATGTAAATAATAGATTTACTGCGGAAAGGCGGGACCGCAGGGAAAGTGGCAAAAAATTGCGAAGTTTGCCACATGAAAATGTTAAGACTGAGAAAAAATATAGCCTACAGTGTTACTAAGGACAAAGGAAGTCTGTCAAAATATATTACAGTCCGATATCTTGTGAACTTAGTAGCAAGTAGCGCTGCAGCCACTACTACAGAAGCGCTTAAGGTATTAAAATTGAATGCAAATCAGTAGACAGTGAGGTGAAAAATTGCCAAATTGAGCGCAATGGATCATAAAAGAAGAAAAAAGCAAATTTGATCAAAATACATGTGCGAGTGTGGCAGTGTTTTGCTGCATCGCACGAAAACCGAACCGTTGCCTATTGGGATATGTTAGGCCTTACAGAATGCAATAAAAAACACATTTTTAAGATTTAATTGAGGGTTATTTGGACTAACAAGACTTAATTAATCGCTTTCAATCAGATGGCCGGGCATGGTATTGGATCAAAGGCCCAAATTAAGGCTAAGCGCATCATGTATTGCAAACTGTGAATCACGGTGGTCGGTCAATATTAGTTTGGGGTTGTATTTCAAAAATGTTGTTGATCCGTTTGTACGCATTATGCGTAAGAAAGAGTATCTGTTCATATTTCAACAAAATTTGCAAGATGTAGTCGAAAAAATTAGAGTTTCTGCTGAAAAATCAACCAAAACACACTGCACATGTTCGCAAAGACTGGAACAAAAGAAAAAATTTGCCAATTTGAAATGGCCTCCACAATCCGAGGACATGAATCTCATCGAGAATTTGCGAAATCAGCTAAAAGCGCAGCTTACTAAATATCCAAGACCGTCCAATGTAGTACATGAGCTGTGAAAGCAAACCAAGGATATATGGGAGGCTATACCTCCAGAACTTTTACAGAGATACACATTAGGTATGCCAAATTGCAACCAGGAACTAAAAAAAGCAAAAGCATACTGAACATTGTGTTAATAATTCTTTTT